TAATGTCATCCACATATATTTGCACAATAAGTAAATCATCATTTTTAGTTTTAACAAAAAGTGTTGTGTCAATCGTTCCTCTATAAAAATTATTTTCAATCAAAAATTTACTTAATCGTTCATACCATGCACGAGGTGCTTGTTTCAAACCATATAAAGCTTTTGATAGTTTAAAAACATGATTTGGAAAAGCATGATCTTCAAAACCTAGGGGTTGTTTAACATAAACTTCCTCATTTATGAAACCATCAAGAAAGGCATTTTTTATATCCATTTGATAAAGTTTGAAAATCTCTAAAAAATGCAAATGCAAGGAACATGCGAATGGCTTCTAATTTAGCAATCGGAGCAAAGTTTTCATCGAAATCAATACATTCTTCTTGATTGTATCCTTGTGCAACAAGTCTAGCTTTGTTTCTTATAATTGTGTCGGATTCATCATGCTTGTTTCGAAAGATCCATTGGGTACCGATAATGGTATGATCTGTAGGTTTTGGCACAAGTTCCCACACTTTGTTTCTCTCAAATTGGTTAAGCTCTTCATGCATAGCTATCTTCCAAAGTTCATCGAATTCGACTTCTTGAAAGTTTTTAGGCTCAATTTGTGAGAGAAAAGCCAAGTGACTACAAATGTTTCTAAGTGAAGAGCGAGTTTCAATACCTTTTGTAGGGTCACCTATGATTAAATCCTTAGAGTGATTATGAACAAACTTCCATTCTCTTGGCAAATCATCATTGTTTCCTCCTTCTTCTTGAGGTGAGAGAATATGTTGTTCAATCTCTTTGTTCAACTTACATAGTTGGTTCTCTTCTTTATAGATATTTGAATCTTCCACATTTGATTCCAAATCTATATTATCACTAACAATTTGCTTTTGAGCAGAGATGTTAGTTTCATCAAATGCCACATGTATAGATTCTTCCACAATAAGAGTTCTTTTTTAAAAAACACGATGAGCTTTGCTAGTTAAGGAATAGCCAAGAAAAATTGTTTCATCAGATTTTGAATCAAATTTACCTAAGTTATCCTTACCATTATTATGTACAAAACATTTACAACCAAAAACATACAAATGACTAATATTGGACTTTCTATCATGTCAAAGTTCATAAGGAGTCTTTTTGAGAATAGGTCTAATTAATACACGATTTAAAATATCGTATGCGGTGTGAATAACTTCAGCCCAAAAATACTTAGGAAGATTATTTTTGCAAAGCATTGTTCTACTCATCTCTTCTAAAGTTCTATTTTTCCTTTCTACCACACCATTTTGTTGAGGGGTTGTAGGTGCTGAAAAATTATGTCCAATACCGTGTTCATCACAAAACAATTCAAATTTCTCATTTTCAAGTTCTCTACCATGGTCGGTTCGAATATTAGTAATAAGAAAGTTTTTTTCATTTTGAATTCTATGACAGAGTTTTGTGAAAGAAGAAAAGGTTTCATCTTTGTGTGCTAAAAACATAACCCATATAAATTTTGAATAATCATCAACAATAACAAGACAATAATGTTTACCACTTAGACTAGATGTCATTGAGGGACCAAAT